GCCGCCTGGCGGCTTCAGCGGCAACGCCACCTTCACGTACACGGTGCAGGACACTGCGGGCAACAAGGCCAACGCCACCGTCACCATCATTGTGCCAGGGCTGAGCAATACCCCGCAGGGTGGCGGTGTCGAGGCGAATGATGACGCATTCACTGGTTCCTACGATAAAAACTTGTCGATTGCAGCTGGCAGTTTGTTGGGCAATGACAAGGCTCTTGGCGCCAGCGGCGCCCTCACAATCCTCAGCGTCACTCAGCCTTCGGCTGGGACCCTCGAGTTCAACCCTGCCACAGGCAGTCTGATCTTCACTCCGTCGCCAGGGTTCAGCGGCGTCGCAACCTTCACGTACACAGTCCAGGGCTCCAACGGCAACACGGCGACGGCCACTGTGACCATCAACGTCCCGGCACCACCTCCGATCGCTCCAGCCAACTATACTTGGACTACGCCTTTTGAAACTCCCCTTGACTCTAGCCAGTCTGGCAACCTGCTTTCAGGCTTTACGGCAGGCCCAAATGCCACACTCAGGGTTATCGGCGTGAGCAAGGCCCCGCCCCCAGAGGCTGGCACCCTTGTAATCAATGAGGATGGTGAGTGCTTGGCTCAAGGGGCCAAGGTGATCTTTGTCTTTGTTGCTCCGCTGTGTCTGCGCACATGATTGCCATTGGGGGCAGCAAGAGTTTAGCAGAGAGAGGCCGTCCAGGAGCGCAACCCTTCTATGTCTGTGCCGTGCAAGCTCACATGCATGTCCACCCAACTTCACAGTCCCCTACATCTGAAAACAAAGTTGCCGTCGCTCTCCCATCCACCACCGCCGTTCAGGGACCTTTGTCTTTTCACCAGCCAGGGGCTTCTCAGGCGAGACTGAGTTTTGCGTGTCGGTTGTGGACACCGTCAGCGGCGCCAAGACCAGGGCGTGCGCCAAAATAGTGGTGCCCGCCAGAGATGACGTGACCGTGAGTCATGCATATGCGCACTGTGAATGGGCTCTAAACGGGGGCTTGGGGGGGGGGGCAGCCCAAAGCAATGTGAGGGCCGTGTCATCACTACCACATTGGCACGTATCCAGAAGCAGGCCGCATTCGCCAAGTGACCCTCTCCACGCAACCCCTTGCGCCACCAAACATCTGGGTGGTCAACTGTCTCTTCCCCACGCAGATGATCCTTCCCCTGGTACCCGTGTCGCCCAGCATCAAGGCGGTGTGCCCCGATGCTGCAGAGCTGCAGAAGATTGCCAAAGGCTACGTTGACAAAATCAAAGCACAGCCCAATGTCTTGGATGCCAAACTCCTGAGTGTCAAGTGCGACTGGATTGTGAGTGGCTGCTTCCGTGTCTGTTGCAATGCTACAGTTGCCGGCTGGAGCCAAGGAAGAGCAGCACATGAGAATGCAGCTGCAGCACGATCCAGCCGGCAGGGCGTGTTCGGATGATGTTACACCATCAAAGCTCAGGCTCGCTCCCACTGCTCAGCCTCCCCCCAACACACACACACACACATACACACACACACACACACAAACACACACATTTCAACCGTTCTCAGCCTCCGGAATCCCCAACCCACTGACGACTTTTTTGGTGAATGTTTGCACAACTCCTTGCCATCAACAAATACTTTGCAGGCTGCCGACCTCGTGCTGGTCAAGGTGGAGGTCCACGTGATCAGCAAAGACACCAAGTCCCAAGACAGCCTGCTTCTCAACATCGGCTCTCCCCCGGGGGGAACCACTGACGGCGGCGGCAGCGGCGGCGGCGGCGGCGGCGGCAGCAATCCCAGCCCGACTGTGAGCCTGTGCAGCACCCCGGTGTTTGCTGGCACCTGCAACCAGACAACGGGCAACAACCTGAAGGTCGATGGCGGTTGCGCCACCACGAACGACGTATGCGTGCCGCCAGAGGTCAAAGACAAGAACTGCGTGGTCCCAGACCCATCCAATGGCGGTTACGTCACCAACCAGAACACAACCGGCGGCGGCAACGGCGGTGGCGGCGGCGGTGGCGGCGGCGGAACTGCGACATTTGAGGGGTGCTGCGTCGCCAAAGGCGACAAGGCGACGACCACAACAACTACCTGCACAAAGGTTGGTTGCTGTTTCACGCGGGACGAGTCAGCCCTGTCTTGATGAGTTTGATGAGCAACATGCACCCCGCGCCAGTGCAGCCCTAGCAAGCGGCTGAGAACGGCCTGCCCCTGCGCAAGTCCTGCAAATGAAGCTGTGCAGCTGTCATTAAGCTCAATCCACGACAATTGGCGCGTCTCTTTCCACCTTGATAACCTAGCGCTTTGAAACACACCCAACAAATCACTTGCATCCACATTCACACAGATCCGCGTTGGTCCCAAGTGGCAGACCCCCAAGTGCCCGCCGACACAGAACCCCCTAAAGCAGCTCGACAATTGTGAGTGCTTCGCCCTGCGGGAGTACGTCCCCAGAATGATGAGCACCAAAAAGAAAGCCGTGGCCGGCAAGGCGGCCAAACCGGCGCCAACACTGGCCCAGTACCCCTTCACCCTGGGAATTGCGTCCAAGGTGGGATGCGCAGCCCTGTTGTTTCGCGAGCTTGCACTGGCAGATGGGCGGAGGGGAGTGCTCAGCGTGCGCAGTTTGCTCAGCTGCAACAGCTGCTGCCGCTCGAGGCTGGCGTTATGCATTAATCGATCCAGAAGACTGCGCTTGCGTGGACCCCCCCTGTCGCTGCGGCCGCGCCTACCTCTTTGTTGCCCCAAAACCTGACCCCCAACCCTCCACCCTGCTGTGCTGGCGGCCAGGTGTGCGTCTCCAAGCCCACCAAGGCCAACCGCCTGCGATGCAAAAGGGAGTGGCTCAACGCCGCGTATGCCACCGTCTCCTGCCAAAACGGGGCCCTGTCAGTCACGCTCCAGCAGGTCCCCGGGTTCTTCGTGGGCAGCCTGACAAACGTGGCGGTCAGCTGCGGCGGCAGCGCCCTTTCGGACCTGAGCACATGCACAATGGCCAACGCGGCGACGACCAAGGTCTCCAGGACATCGACCGGGGTGCTGATCACGTCGCCAGATTGGGACTCAAACTGCGTGTGCACAGGCAGTGGGCGCCGTCCGGTCCTCAAGGTGAGGGTCGAGAGGGATGTTGCTCTGGTGGCAGCTTTGGAGCGGCGTGCTTTGGTTTTGCGCTGCTAAAACTGCACCACTGCTTTGACAGGTAGGGGTGCAAATGGGCACGGATGCGCATGCGCACATTCGCGCGCACGCAATGCACGAAGCATGCACTTGCAGACGTGCATGTGCGCGTGCAGAGACACACACACACACACACACACACACACACACATACGCACACACA